TTTAATTTATGATCAGTTATAATTTAATTGTTGACATCTGAAATATATGTTTCAGGTAGTTAGTAATTTATTGCAGATATCTTGAATTAGAGCCTCCATACAACTTAATGGTAAATCTGACATCATTTATACTAGTCAGAATGTAATTACAGATTATGAATATAAATATCTTAATATCACTAATTTCAGATATTTGGAATTGGGAAAATGGGAGTTTTTTGTTTTTGTCAGGCAATGATGAAATCGCCACCTGCCGCCAGTTACTGAGAAGGCTGCTCCAACGTGACTCTAGCCTGTCCTGTGCGCTGCTAGTTACCGCATGCACRTTCAGCGGTGATGCATGAAAAAGTGTCCCCCACGAAACAGTTCACYRCCGGGCGTGACATAACCACATCCCAACTTCACTGRAATTGGGGTTKAGCCCTGAATACGGACAGAGACACACTTTACGTACCACAGTGCCGCACAACGAGCATTGTTTCTTGCGCTCGTACGGTGTCAGTTTGGGAGCATAGTCCRTGTTAGCATGTCGACCGCTGCTGAGCTCAGCGGCCTTCTCTTTCCTCTGCTCGATCTGCTCCATATGCCTGCGGCTGCTCTCGTCGTGCTGGGGGAGAAACCAGAGACCGTGGGTCATATGGGACATGGGGATTCCTGCATGATGTTCGTGAAAGAAACAAGGCAGTGTGGTATAAACTTACCTTCATTTGAATTTTCTTTTGTAGCTCCTCCATGGCCTCTTGTTGGGCAGCACTGAGAGCAGCCAGACGCTCCTCTCGGTCTCTTTATAAAGAACAAAAAAAGGCAGAGTTAAACTACGAAAAACTTGCACAAAAGTCTCTCTCTGAATAAAGGACTCCTGCAGTCAATTGACAAAGCCACCTGAAAGCCTGCAGCAAATTCAGAAAGTATTCAATTAAATTTATATCCAAGACTTAATTTTACTATAGAGCAAATCAATCTACACTTGTTTTTTATGCAATAGTTATAGAATAAATCTTTACAATTTGCACTAACATGGTTGATCCTGGGATAACAGCCATTTTTATGAGGAGCCCAATTTAGGTACACTGTTTTGTAGCAAAAGTGTGTAATGAGATAATTTTGAGTTTAAACCAAATCAAATATTGGGACAACTCAAATGTAAGAAAACAAGGATTTATAACAAAGTGGGGGAAAAATAATAAAAATAAATAAACATTATTATAACAACATTTCTTGAATCCATTTTATACACCATAGTGAAGGGATGAGCAACCACAAACCTGGCCCTCTCCCGAGCTGCATCCTCTCGAGCCTTTTCCTTCTCCTGCCTCTGCTGCTCAATACGAGCCTCCTGCTCTTTCCTTCGAATCAGCAGCTCCTCCACTCTCGCTTGCCGCTCTGCTTCCAAGACYCTCTTACGCTCCTACAAACAAAGTAAGGAGGAAATAAAAGGTGCAGATGGTTGGGGAAACTCAACGATGAGGGGAAAAAAGAAAAAATTCCCACCTGAACAGCCTCATCTCTGGCCTGCTTCTCCTCCTGCCTCCTCTGTCTCTCCTCCTGTAGCTCATTCAGTCGTTGCTCATATTCGCTCAACTTTGCCAGAGCGTCGTGCCTTTTATTTTGGGCTTCCAAAGTGTTGATGAAAGCAATTTCATTTACCTGTTGTGGCAAATATCCACAATGAAACAAGCACATAAAAAACACATGAAGCATGGAACTGAAGTGCTTCATTTGAGAAACGTCTGTTTTCACAAGGTTACGGCTTTTCGCAGGATTCCCTTCTCTACCTTGGCCTCTTCTTCTTGGGCTTTCTTCACGATTGCCTGGAGCTGCAGCTCCCTCTTAAACTCAGCGTGCAACAGCTTTTCGTCCATCATCCGGCGACGCTGCTCCAACAACTCTTCTTTCCATTTCCGCACATCCTTCTCCTGCGGAGGAGGAAAAAGTGAAGAGTGGCGAACACATTTAGAAAAACAAAACAGTGTGGTGAACTTTCCACTTTCTACCCTCTCTTGTGGGTCCATTTGGGGATTAAGGAGAACAAACACCACTTTTTGAATTTATGTGGTTAACCCAATTTATTCTAGGACTCACTCATCTTGCTACAGCTTAAAGTACAAAAACAAACTTCATGAGAGGCTGTGGATTTTGGCTAAGGGTCTCTCTCATGACTGGTTGTGGCCAGATGGTCTGGATGGGACTGGAAAAGTTTATAATGTTTAGTCATTTTATCGAGGGGTGTGCTGATAGATGCTCTCGTCGTGAGCCAATCTGAGCTTATTTTGAATGAAGTTTCTTTTGGGTGCCGTCTGTCAGGTCAGAGCAGCTTGCTCACCCTCTCCATCAGCTTTTGCAATTTAAGCGTCTTTTCSTCACGAAGTTTGTCCCTCAGCTGCTGTGCCTTGAGTTGTTTCTCCTCGTGCTTCTTCTTTGACTCRGCAATGGTTCTGTCAAAAATATGGAAACAAATAGGTCAGCGTGAGGACTGCTATTAAGATTAAGAAATCCAAAAAGTAAGAAAAAAGAAAATACCACAAATGGCAGCACCGGGGATAGAACTAATTACCTTTTGCGTGATGGTGAGGACAATTTCTCATGCATGTGAATGCCATGCCCAGGAGGCCGAGCAGGTTCCTCTTCTACCATGTCGCCCCAAGAGGTACTCTGACGCCATGATTCCCGAGCTGCAGTGCACACAATCAATCAAAATGCAAACTTTGCTGTTATCTTTACAATACTTCTGATTCTTTTAGATGCCATACCGTCAAAATCAGCCAACAGATCAATCCAATCCATACCGACACCGCTACTTCCACCACCTATGTTTGCCTGTGGTAAAGATTTGTTTGACAGTAGTAGGTTAAAAGGTTAAAATGATTAATAAAAGGCAAAAGCATCAAACATAAACAAGGAATCCCGATTATTCTTACAGAGAAGTAATTTTCATTGTCGGTCTCTAGGTCGTTGTTTTCGGCCTGAATCTCCCTCGTCAGCTGCTCCTCCTCAGCGATGGCGCTGGCAATGGCCTCTTCGTTTGCCTTCTCCAGCCGGTCGGCCAGCTCCTCTTTCTTGGCAAGGACCTCTGCCATGGACTGAGGCTGAGCACATGCACCCGTTCCATTATAAACAACCACATTTAACACTTGAGACATGTTCCATTATTCAAACCAACACCTAGCTCACTGAGTGACAAGAATAATGAAGTCTCCGTTATGGTGATGCCAACCAAAGCAATAATATTGTAAAAACAACGTCTTTTAAAATACATGATATCTGTTCTTAATAAAAGTGTCAGAAAATTTGATACTTTTTCTGCATCATAGGGTGACAAAACATGCAATACACAGTGTAATGCAATCTCAAAGTGTTTTACTTCTCTGGTCACTCAGTTCATAACAAAATAAAAAAAATTCCATTCAGGCTATATTTTATSTTGTTCTTTTCTGCAAGTGGATGTATGAGCGTAAGATTCAGAATAATATTATACAACCACAACTATCACAAGTGAGGAAGCATCCAAAAGTCATGCGGGGCACATTAACAGTGAGGATGACGAGATGGTGGAAGGAGGCAAATGTTCTTTAAAATAGTTTAGGGGTTTAAATAATTGAAAATGTTAAGAACCTCCATAATATTGCAATAGTATGAAACATACTTAAAGATAATTCCAAAGCAGGAAGTAATTTAAATACTAATGTCTACTTGTTTTGGGTATGTAAGTAAATAGTGCCATCTACATTATAGTTACACACTATGTGGTGTATTGAATAGAGGCGTCATGCACGCTTCAGAAGACTGGCCTGTGTAGTATGTGTAGTGTGACGCCATATTGGAAGGGGCGGGCTGTCAACACAAACAATTTATCTTGGCTAGATTTCTGTCTTGAATCGCATATAAATATTGGTTTTTCACTGGTTAGCTTTTGCCTTTTAGAAAAGTGGTTCTCAAAATGAGGTCCCAGGACCCCCAGGGGTCTGCGAGAGGTATCTTGGGGGTCCTCAGAAAATTTCACTAAATTGTTCATTTGTTTTTTTTTTAAATGCATGGAGAACAATGAACTAATAAAACAAACATAATAAACTTAATAAAAATACATATTTCCATGACATTTAGGGGTTGAAATTAAAATAAATAATCTTTTAAAAAAGCATAGGGTTTATGAGGGGGTCCCTGAAATTTTCTTCGCCCTTGTAAGGAACCAAATGACTTGAGAACCCCTGTTTTAGAAACATCATCCTTGCTGATATTTGTACTGACAAGCATTTCTATCAAATCAAATGGTAGTCAATAGCAAACTGTTTCATTGACACACTGACATAAATTTAACATGTCATGGTTACCACATTCAGCTTTAACAGCTTGTCCCCGCCCCGAACAACATGGCCGCTCTCTCCGACCAAGAAAAGTCGCATGATAGCAGCTCTAGACAATACACCTCAATGGTTACACACATTATCTGAAAAAAAAAACTAGACTGGTGTAAATTAGCACTAGTTTTAAATTTATTTATTTTGGAATACTTTCAAGTAAATGTCTGATGTGTAAACAAAATGTTCAAAGCGTTGATGTTGAATTCAACAGAAACCAAAAATTCAGAATTCTATTTTTTAGGGGCATTGACAGTTTGGGGTCACACACTGGAAGTACTTGCTTGAGTACAAAGGCCATCTAGTCACAGCTATTCTTGACAATGAATACTGCTATAACAATATTTCACAGAGCTACGCAGCCCTGTCTGCACGTTTGGTCTGAAGGTTTCCTGAGATTGACTTTGTTTAGGCATCGACAACTCCTGGGGGACCCCCTGCCCTCACAGCCACCCCCCTCCCTCTGCTCCTCCATCTCTCAGCACTCACAGTGGAAAGCTCTGTGGGGTCCAGCACACTCTCCAGTTTCACCGCTGCCATGGGAGTCTCGGCCTGTCCTGCAGCAGATGTTGCCATGCCCTGTGACGCACCTCCCTCAGCCCCAGTGTCCTCAAAGACCATCAGAGTACTACTGAGCCCACCCGTCTGGTGTGGGTCAGCAGATGCTGTGAAGTCCTGAGAAGTGACTGGGACTGATAAGGTAATGTCTGATGAAGGGACTGTGGCTTTGGGGTGGGTGCTCTCTGGGGCCTGGGGTGGGGTAAGAGACGCTACGGAGGGAGGCACATCTTCACGAGGTGCGTCGACACACTGCTCTGAGTCTTGTTTATTCTCTGCTGGGGGCTGCACCGACAGTCACACACAAACACATGCAAACTGAATTAAAAGACATGCACATGTCAAGCAGTTCGTGACATCAATACAAACAAAATCAAATTAAAAATCMATCAACATACAGATCAAGACAAATCATGCAAGGAAACAGACATTAACATGCTCTGAATATCTGGCTATTATTAAACTGAGCAGATAGATTTTACAGTTACTACATGTTTTAAACATTTTCACTAAGCTTGTCTTGATGCATTGTCAGTATTTATTTCATGACAATGAAAATTGGCCTTATGGCCTCTGAAATGTCAGGGAACAATCAATCGTTTCAAAGTTGATATGCCTGTCTGGACAGTCTGCCTATTAATATCATGAAGCCCCAAACAAAAACAAACGTGGCTGATAAAGTGATCTAGTGTTACACTGCTCCGTGTTGAATAATTGATATCCAGGAAATGCTCAAACAGAACGATGTCACAGGGTGCTCGACGGTAGTACCTCCATTATTTGTCCATTTTCTGGATGCGCAGCCTCATCGAGAGCGTCGGGCTCTGCGGTGACTTGCTGTCCAGGGTCAGGCTGGGTCRCACCCTTATCTGGGGGACCCTCGGGACAGAGGTGTTTCTGACCCTGTGGCGGTAGATGTGACCGGTTACCCTTGGCGTTGTCCTGTTTCGGGGTGGCGTGAGCCAAGACAGGACTGACCTTGGCAACTATAGCTGCAGAGCGAGGTTTGGCAGTGCGTCCTCGGTGAACCGTTTCCCAGCCTTCTGCGTCTTTTTTACCTGGAAACACATAATTGACTCCGTTAACAAGTGAAAAAAAAAGGAGAGAGAATTAAACCATTTTTATTTCTTTTGAGAACTGTGGAGTRCAAGTTTTCTGAGTCATTTCTTACCAGGTTTCTCAGCAGGGGATGTGGTTGGTTGACTTTGAATGGCCTGAGTGCACTTTACTCTGTCTGCCCAGCTGGGACCGGTGTGGGAGAGCCGAGCTGCAGCCAGCGTTGATGGAGGACCTCTGACCAAGTACACACACACACACACACACACACACACACACACAAAAAAAAAAAAAGAACAATCAGATGTGGACAGTTGTTGTGCCTTTCCTGCCAATAGGCCAAACTTTAAATCTTATTAAATCCCATTTCTGAGTAGCTGCCACTGTGTTGACGGCTGAAAACACTTCAGCCGTCTGAAGATGGCCTACCCCTCACAGCAGGCTCCACTCGGAGATAGCATGGAAACATATTGTAAAACAGGCCTCTGTCATGATCAATATCCATTTCCTGCAGCATCACATTACAGACTGGTGCACATATTGAACCAATGCTTCAGCAGTCTTTAGCMGACACTTTCGTCTACACCTTCCACTGATTCTGCGGCCGAAAAGCGAGAGACTCCACAAATCACATGCTTCACCATCAGCTATCGGTAGCCATCTTGWTGGATGCAGTCTGCACTTTCTAGCCTTTTAAATGGCACCACACAATATGACAAAATATAGAGCGGTTGATACAAGGGCGACCCAGTGTGTACAAATTTCTTTATTTATTTGCAAAAATAGAGAGCTTACCCGAAGTTGAGGGTGCGTCGAGCACCTGAGGGGGGTACCATTCTGTCTGCAGTGGGACTCGGCATTACATGACGTCCTGGAGACATCTTCCGCACCTCCCAGGCTAAAGAAGTTGGCCTAAACAACATAAAGTACCTTAAATAAACATTATTGTGGCTAAACATGCACAATTTAGATCAACTTATTTGATAGAATCAAGTGAAAATTTGATTTTGACATGAAATAAAATATGGTAACAAGAGTACATTTTAAACACGCATACTGAGAGGTGGCACTGGGAATTTAATTTCTTAATCAATTTACGGCTACAGCGGCCATTGTGTTAAAGAGAACCCAATATGTGGATCCATCTGAAATACAGCCAAGACTATTGATCTGTTCAGTTTGTGACTCAAAGACACCAGCAGCATTTCATGTTTCACCACAGGGAGCAGTTTAAAAACAGAACAAAACAGAAAAAGGCTCACCTGTTCTGGGCATCCGTTTTCTCCAACTTCTCTTGAAGCTGGATCCAGTCTATGAGAGCTTTGAAGTCCCGAACATAGTTGTCCAGCATCATCAACACCTCCTACATACAACAGGTGCACAACAAGCACATATTAAATCTAGAGCACAAAGTATAAAGTTATCTCAAACGACTCAGCATGTTTATAATATATAAAAACTAAATATATATTTACTAGTTAGCTATCTTTATTGTTTATTCTATTAAAAGTATTTTTCAAATACAATGACTTTCTAATCTACTTTTATCCTTAATTTGACTGAGAACAATAAATATAATTGACATCACAAATTCAAGGCACGTTTTTAACCACACAAAAAAAACAATAGCTGTCCATTTGAAAAACCCACATTTGATTGATTAATTTAAAAYGACATGAAAGATCTTACAAAGATTAATAGTTTATCTTGAAAGCAGAAGATGTTCCAACATAAACACTTCACTGAAAGCTTTGAGGAAGAACAGAGAAGACCAATTCTTTAGAACAAATGTCTATTATGTGCACTTGGACTGAAGTGACAGGATTGGTTATGCAGAAGTGGTGGCCCGTGAGGAGCCCCCCCACCAGACCTCTAATGAAACAGACACAACTGATTGATGGGGAGCGTGAAGGGAGTGGTAATTGAGAGTAAAGCTTCACAGTGCTTTTAGTTAATAGACAAGTCAAAGCCAGTGAAAGATGTGTCCAGCAGCAGGTCTGCTGATTGGGGCTGGTCAACTGTCGGAGTCCACAGCTATGAGCCGGTGTTCATTTGGTAAAGAAGCTGGCCAGCAGTTTGCTTGAACAGAAAAACCAACGGTGAACAAACGCGAAGCAATTGTCGAAACACATTCACAAAAACATCTACACAAATACAACCCGTATATAACCTTTCATGAGAAATGTCTGATGGATGTTTAACCTTCACAGCACAGCCATAAAGTAAGGCAGCCCGTTAAAGCCTGTGTTTCATACACTGAAACAAAAATGAACAGCAGAGCCACGTTCAGCCGAGGTGAGCGTCATCAACCTCAAGTAAATAATTTACTCTTCTGTTATTTGTCATTTAAACCATTTCAGTCGATAATGATCAGTTCCAATTTCTTTTAGAATAATATAAAGTCTGTGAGCAAATTGGAATTCTGAGAACCTTTCCCACCCACTGTCGACTGAGAAACCATGAGACATTTTTTATAAAAAAAATCCATCAACTGTTCTGCTGAGTGAACAATTTCCCGTTGAGATGGAAAACAAAGTGTAACAGATCAGCCCTTATGTTCTCGTTTGAAATCACAAATATATACAACAGTAACRGTCTTGAAAGATAATTAGGCATTGCTTCCCAACGATGATCGTGTGCATAAGTTTTTAGGTGATAAAGGGTGGGCTGTTTGTGTGAGAGCATACAACACAGACTGCCCACAGCTACACAGGGGGGTTGTGGCTGAGGCCAATCAAAGCACTCTGCTTCCTTTCCAGATGACTCCATCATTTATCAGTGTCCATTAAGGCCAAGCTGGGTGGGATAGAGGATTATGAACAGCAACCAGCTTCATGCCCATTAGACAGCATTAGAGTGTCAAGAGATACAGTGGTATGGGGGGGGGGGGGGGGGGGGAGAGACGAACACCTAGCAGCCTGTTTTCTGACACAGGACAACAGACAGCATGATTATCACACTAGGGACCACCACTGTGGCACTGACACCGTACCGGTCCCACCACAAAGAAATGGACTACAGTGCTGACCGCAAACATCACCAGAACCATGTTCAGCATAATGTGGCATGGCAGGAGAGTCAATAAGAGTCAGGAGTACTGCAGTGTAAAAATACTTTAGTAATGCATCAAGTAAACAAAGTCCACATGTTAAAAATGAAGAAATGCTTTAAGCTTGGTTTTAATTCTATGTGCAATGTGTGATGGAAAAAAAAAAATCCAAATCCTGCTTTGAACACAGAACAATATAGATTTGAGCAAGTGAGACCAAAGAGAGATCTCCTGATAACCATTTTACCAACAAGTCTTCATTAAAGGCTTTCTGACATAAGCTGCTATCAACAGGAACAGGATTTCTCTGAAATTTTGTTGCAATCTCAAGGTCCCCCTCTAGTGTTCAATWCTCACATAGCATCCGGTTTCACCACAGAGCTCACAAAATAAACCAAAATGACCTCATCCTCATATTTTGGATTTGTATCGAGGGTTTCGCTTGGACCAACCTTGCATTCTAAGACGCTCTGATCAGATTCACACGTGACGTAAATCTCATCCACGGCCCGACGCAGGTTCTCGAAGAGAAAGGCCCAATAACGTGCGCGCAGGTCCACTTTCCGTGGCTGTCGGACTTTAGTGGGGCTTTTGTCAGGCCCCTTGTCCAATGAGGAGGTGCCTTTACTTTCCACACCTGCATTCTGTAAAGCACACAGTGTTAATCAGACAGAAACAGACGCTTCTGTGCATAAACCTTCACTTTATTAGAAAATAAATAAATAAATAAATAAATAAATAAATAAATGTTGGATCGCTTCTGATGGCTGGGACAGATTGTATGTGTGACATAACAATTGATAAACATGTACACATAATTACATAAAACACATAAAAGTAAGTAATTTGACCTTTGCATTTTCTTAGGTAAAATGTTGACATGCTTTAGCTGGACCCAGGAATTTTATTTTAAGAACTTTACCTGGAAAAAAGGAGTAGGGATTCAAAAATCTATAAACAAATAATAACTGCTTTTCTCAGCTCTTCAACAATCTTAAAGCTTAAGCATATTGGTACACTTGCACTGCGTTTGTTTTAAAATGTGAACAGCAAAAACAAAAAAATTGACAAAGTGATGGTGAACGGAGCCCTCTAGTGGAGCAAGACCAAATACCAACCTGTTTTTTATTTTTCTGTTGTCCAGAACCGGTCCTGTGAGACCTGGAGCTGCCACTGGAGTTGCCTTTGGACTTTGCTTTATGGAAAAGAAGTCAAAACCAAATAATCTTTTAAGCAGATTTRTTCAAATTTCACACATGTAAAACAAACGAGGGTTAAAAACTCCAAAACAGTTTGTACTTGTGAAGAAATCAACTTCACACAAACCTTATCAGAAACTAATCACAAAAATTCTGAACCTAACTAATCGTCAAACTCAATAATAAAACAAGAAATTAAGAGTGTGCCAAAAACATCCATCCACTTATTAGATTATTTATAAAGATTCAGAACAGATATAAAATGTCCCAAAAATCGATGCTGTCGGCTTTCATTTCGTAACTATGCAGGACGTCCCAACGTTACCGCGTAGCCGGTTCTGGAATGTACGCATGCACAGAAAGCACAAAAACTCAAACTCAAATCACTTTAACTCCATTTTCAATCCAATCATGGCCCCAAAAGTCAGAATTGAATTATGAAATAGTAAAAGATTCTCACTCCTACAAGAAATCTTAAGATTATCAGACACATTCGACTGATATCATCTTAAAACCTTCATGTTTCATGTTGTGTTCTTTTTAAATTCTTTGTTTTTGTGTTGCACTTCCATAATTTCATGGATCTATGGACTATTTTTAAAGAAACATAATGATCAGCATGAGCTGACTCACTTATTAATATGTTGATGCAATTTTCAAATAAATTGCTGTGATTATGAGCCAAGGCTTACTAAAGCTCTTCAGTTCAGTCCTAATGACAAAAAGATGACAATAATTGCAGCGAGTGCTAAACAATTAAACAAAAAAAAAAAAAGAATCCAAGTTCAAGAGGACTAAATTAGATTTCAAAAACTGTAAAAATAAAATTATACTTGAGGACAAGACTGGTAGGGACATCAGACGGAATGACAATTGTTTTAGAATAACAGCCAGTTTTGCAGAAGACCTGCTAAAGTATATTTTAAAATTCTCAATCCAGGGGCATAGATTAGGTGAGGTACCTGGGTGAATACATTTTAGAGGACATATTCTGCAGTTTTGTAAGTTTAAGTTTTTTTAAGTTTAAGTTTTATTTATTTATAAAGCACCCTTCATTCTAATAGCAGCTCAAAGTGCTGTACAAAATTATGCACAATAAACCCATGTAAGGTAGGTGATACAAACCTACTTTTGACAAAAACAGAAGAAAGTCATTTACTCCACATAATGTTTAAGCATGATACTTTTATTTTATTTTGTTTTTTGCAGGTTGACTGGAGCATGATTTGTATATTCAGTTTTTTCTAAAGCCAATGGCTTGTGAATGGTAAAATGTTAAATGGACTGAACTTATATAGTGCTTTATCAAATCCCTCCAGACCCCAAAGCGCTTTTCACGCATTCACACTCACATTCACACAATGATGATGGCAAACTACACCAGTAAACATCAGTAAGAGAAGGAAATACTTGGTCTGAGAGCTTTTTATTAACATTCAGAGAACAAATGATAACTAATCTGGTGCAATTTCTTCTACCTTCTAGTTGTTTCAAAAAAATCTGAAAACCTACACTGACAAGTAAATGTTGAATAAACTGTTGATTCCACACAAAAAACATCACATTCCTTCTTTGAAAATAAATAAATAAATAAATAAATAAATAAATCTTTAGAATAAAACCGTGAAATAAAGATTGAGACTATTCTAGTGTATCATCTCAGTTTGGTAGTATTTTAAAACTTACTGATGATGATAACAACAACAACAACAATATAGGAATAATCCTGCTGTGTTCCAGAAAACGCATCACTGTGACATCAGGTCTTTGTTGTGGTAGGTGTGTTTAAGTCCTGATTCAGAGACATATTTTCGAACTCTGAGGATAAACTCAGGCAACTTCTAACTGCTGCTCGTCTCTTCCTCCTTGCCAGTAAAAGTAATGCCAGGAATTTCTCCTAACAGCTTGATACACAACCTGCATCCCAGTCTACAGCTGAAAAACCTGACATTTCCTACATATCTTTTCTGGCACCCAGGGAACAGCTTCAAACATAGCTGGGATATTTAGGTGTGCATCTTCCTCCCCTGCAGCAAGTGCAGCCGACATTATATTTTATTTGAAAAGTGAATACTTTAAAGAAATAAATGAACATCTGTCATTCGCATTACATCTCATCTAACAGGGTTTCCCCTAGGATTTTTTTTAACCATGGTGGTGGCCTCTCATGCGGAATGTAACACGACAAGGTTGTCAAAATCTGGTTGTTTGCAAAAATCTAAAGAAAAAAAGTAATTTAAAAAGTAGGCTATATTGTTCTGTATACAAAGTTTACTATATACAAATGTTCTCAGTCAGCAGGTTTCAGGAGCTGCTTGAGTAAAACTTCCTCCTCATCCTCTTCTTTAGAGAGCAAAAATCAACATCCATAAKCTTTCTGCTTACAGGTCAAACATTTTAATTTAAATAAGAATAAACTGTGTACATGAGCTTATTAAAAGTTACAGTTTAGTGATCTTGGGACTGAAGATTTCTGAGGAAATAGGTTTTTAAACAGCTCTTCTACCATTTTAGTGTTTTCAACTGAGGAACTTTGATATATTTATTTAAAAATATTATAGCAGAGGAATATATATATATTTTTACTGATTTTTTAACCAAACTGACAAGTTTTTTTTTTTTTTTTCAAATTTCTCCACTAAAATTATTGTGTAATTTAAAAGACACTGAAACACCTGGTTAGATTTTGAAGTTATTTATAATTAATTGCAAACACCTGAAGCGGACTCAGAAAACTCTGGTTTTAGAAAAAGAAAAAGGGCACCAGCCCTGCTCTGTTCTGATTGGGTAAAACGTTGACTTTGGTTCTCTTTATTGGGTGAAAGAACCGTCAGTTTAATCCCTAGATGGTTTTAACAAGTTTTTTTTTTTCTCCAGTTCATTTTTACAATGACGAACACCCGCGGCAGAAAACTTTATATCTAGGTTTTTTTTTCCTTGGACAACCAGGGGGCGGGATCTGGTTGTCCGAAACGAAAATGTGTTGTCTCGGACAACCTAAACAATGGTTGTGTCAACCCSTKTT